CCTGAGCACTTGGGTGAAATTCGGGAAGGAGGTGGTGGAGACAAGGGAAAGGTTATGATCTGTATTTTAGTAAATCTTGAAGGGACTGTTCCCTGGCCATATTTCTGTCAGTGATGACGTGGAAAAGAAATGAAATGAGCTTGAGTTTCCACTGATACCTTACAGTCAAGGAAGGTCCTATTCTTCCCTAAGGAGAAGTGGAAATCCTCTGTTTACTTAAGGGCCGTTAACCTTTTCTCACAGTGAGATACCCAGTGATCTGCAGTGATTCCAGATACACTCATCTCAATAAACGGAAGCTGTTTCCTTGCAAGTTGAATCACAAATGAAAAATATTTTGGGAGCACCATAGAAACAAATGCACTGTCTTCCTGAAATATGGAAAGTGACTTTTGTGGCGTTTATTTGTGTGAAAACAAACATTATTCCTTACAAATACTTTTACCTGGAATATAGAAACAGAGATACTAAGCCAGAGATAGAGAAATATCATGAGAAAGAGAGAAGGCTAGGTATTCGAATAATGCAATGAAGGGCCAGAGAATGACCCCACTAACCTAGAACCTACTCAGTCACGTTCTTCTCACCCCCTTGTATCAGTTGGAAGTTGGATTCACCTGTGATCACAACAGCAGCTTAAATTCATAACAAGAAATCTGGAGCCCACGATCCAGAGCGGGTACAGTTGCTCCAGGAAGCCATCCATACCCCAGACAGTTTCTCTCCTCCTGCGCACTCAGACATACTTAGTGTACTCTTGCTGCTGTGGACACAAGCTCACTGCTCCACCTTCAGCAGCATATTTCCTATGGCAGGCAAAGTAATGGACCCTCAAAGATGTCCACGTCCTAATCCCCAGAGGCTGTGAATACTGGCAACGGGGAATTAAAGTTACAGATGGAATTCAGGTCTCCAAATAGCTGACTTCAAAATGGGGAGATCTGGGTCGACCCAATGGGATTATAAGGATCATTCAAAGTGGAAGAGGGAGCCCACAGAAGAGTCAGAGGGAGATGGGACTGGGGAAGAACGGGTAGAGAGTTACATCTTTCCTGGCCTTGAATATGGAGAAAGGGGGACCCACAAAGAATGTGGGTGGCCTCTGGGAGTTAGAAAAGCAAGGAAACCAGACCGATTCTCTCCTAGAGCCTTCAAAAGAGAACACAATTCTACCAACTCCTTGATTATAGTCTGGTGACACCCATGTCAGTCTTCTGACCCACAGATGTGGAAGATAGTAAGTTCATACTGTTGTAAGCCCCTACATGTGTGGCCGTTGTTATAGAAGCAATTGGAAACTAATAACGTGGCTCTCGCACCAGGTCCCTGCAGGCAGGAAGAAGGGGAAGAACAAAGCACCATAGACCACAGGCGTCAGCCCTCCTCCTTTGAAGGAGCTTTCCCAGAAGTCTTCCCCAACAGTTTTTACTTACATCTCATTGGTCAGAGCTGCCCTGTGGCCACCCTTCTCTGCAGTGGAAGCTGGGACGGGTACAATTTCAGCTGAGCACATTGCCACCCCCAACAAAATGCGGGTTCTGTTAGCACAGAGGAAAGGGAGGATAGATACTGGGCGGGCAGGCAAATTGGCTGGAATCCCGCCACACTCCTGGGCAGAGCTGACACTTCCATAACACATCATTCTTTCCTTTATGATGGCCATGTTTGGGTTGCCGTATAATTTATGTGTTTACCTGGCTGTTCTCCTCATTTGACCCAGAGTGTTCAAGCGCAGACACTGTGGCTGATGGAGCTCTCTGTCCCGGATGCTCAAGCCAGGGGCTGATAGAGAGAGGTGTTTGCAAGCAGCTGGATGGATGAAAGCATACATGGATTTTGAAATGAAAGAATGATCGATGCTCTTCCCAGAGCCATAGACTCTGTATTTCCTGGGCGGAAGGTCTGTTTGAGTCAGGGAGACTTTATAAGACCGTTCGGCCACGATTGCAACTTCATCCCCAGGAAATTAAACCTACACAGCTGTGCTGTGTCACCTTTCCTGACCGCCTGTTACAGTCTGCTTTTCGCTCTGAAGAAACTGAGCGAGCTGCTCGGAGGCTGTTATGTGCACCTGTCTCGGCCTAAAGCTTGTGTATAAATTACACTTCCTGCCCATTCTTTATTTTTAGCTCAGCAGTATCCTACTTGGCTCCTCCAGGGAAGGCTGCATTTGGTTTCAGTCGTGAAACTACGAAGGAGTGGCATTTCTAGCCCGGCTGGGATGACTCTTACTAACCCCTAACACTGTTTCCTAGGATATCCCTCAACCCCAAAGAACTCAGTTTTCCCAAAGAAAAACAGCGCCCCGGGCCACCCAGCGCCCTGAGGACTGGGCCCAATCCCACATGTGTATTTGCAGAGAAAGTTGCTACTTGGTCTGACTTGCTTAGACTTACATTCGCTGTCCATTTCCCTCATCCATTTCCTTCGGGTGAAACTTAGTTGTTCTTATCTCCAAAGTCTAGTTTCATTGCTTTTTTTTTTCTCTCTCTCTCTCTTTCTCTCTCCCTCCCTATTCCTTCTCAGTTACCCACTATCATGACCTAAATCTTCAGCACCTGAACTATATAGCTGAGAGCCCTGAAACTCATAGTGCCAGGGCAGGCTGCAGAGACAGTGGCAGCGAGTGGGCATCAGGTCATCGAGAATTCTTAACCACTAGGGCTGCTTCACCGGCAGAGGCAAGTTATTTGGAGTTAGCTTTTTTTTTTTTTTTTTTTTTTTAAATCAGCCATTTTTGGCATGATCTTGTTTATTTTAGAATCCCCTGTAATGCCTAGCTTTTCAAGTCCAGCCAAACAACCTCCATAAATATTGGTAGAATTCCCTGCAAATCGATGGAGTTGCCCTTTAACCCCTTCCTTGTCGTATGAGCAGCGGAGGCCCTGGCTCCTTTCCCCAGCCATAGTCCGAGAAAGGTTGCCTTCTCAGCAGCAGGCCAAAGGAGGCATTTGACATTTATTTTTTATTTTTTATTTTTTTAATTCTCACCCAAGGAGTGAGGCTATTTTCCCTGCATTAATTTCTAGAGAGAGTGAAAGGGAGAGGGTTAGGGGAGAGGAGAGAGAAATATCATGTGAGAGAGATACATTATTGGTTTCCTCCCCTACCCACTCTCCACTGGGGGGTGAGGGGGTCGAATCTGCAACTCAGTTACATGACCTTGACTGGGAATCAAACCCAAAACCCTCCTGTTCTCAGGCCAATGCTCTAACTACTGAACCATGCCAGCCAGGGCAAGGCATTTTTAAAAAGCAACTTATTGTTTTTATTCTGCTTAAAGAATACATTATTTTTTTTATTGGGAACATGTTAAACAAAATATCACCCAATTTTTTTCTTTTAAGAATTTTTTTTTAATTTTTAGAGAGAGAAACATCTATATGAGAGAGAAACATTGGTTGCCTCCCGCACACACAAAACCTCATCCATCCAGAGGGTCTTTTTCTTACTGCTCAATAAAAGCCCTCAGCAGGGTACAGTGCATCCCCAGGTAAATCCATGCCTGGGTCTTGGTGTTCCTCAGCCCTCAGAAGGCTTCACTCTGAACTATTTCGGTCTTAGTCTAACAGACTTGGTTAGCCTGTACCCAGCAGCAGATGAGAAGATGGGAGGAGAGGAGAAGAGAGAGGACTAGTATAGACAGGCACAGACCCGCAGCAAAGCTTCTAGCATGACAGAGGGGAAAGAAACCTAAAGCCAAATGAATGAGTGAACAAATAATTCAGGCCAAATAATTCAGGAAGCGCAATAGTCTACAGCCCTATCAGCGGGACATCCATCCCTCATAACCCCAAAGGCATTGTGGCACTAAGGTGCCATCCCAGTATGCCAACACAATCAATGCTTACCAGGCAGGAAAATGGGAAATACTGTAGAGCCTACCCGGTAAGAGTTTGGCACAACAGTCATGAGCAGGGTCTAGAGTCAGACATCCCAGCTTGAATCCTGCTTTGAGGCTGTGCAATCGCAAACGAATCTCTGGTCAAGCCTTAATGATCTGATCTGTGAAATGGGGATTCCTTACTCCCAGGGCCATTGGGAAGATGAAATAAAATAAGCCGTGTGAATTCTTAGTTCAATTCTTGGCTCAATACTTACTGCTCAATAAAAGTTAATGTATTGCGGTCATTTCATTGAAAGAATATAGCGGCTGCAACTTCCCCCAATCATAACTGTCGCTGCTGTTCTGGAATATTCCGAGTCTCCAGGCAGTGCTAAAATTTCCCTTTCAGGAAATATATATAATGACTGTGAAAACTGAGGAAAGTTCCAGAAGAGTAGGGATTATTGTATCAGTCCAATTCATCTCCTCTCTTTTGGGTGGTAGAGGGAGATGACTTGTAGGCTCTCTAAGATTGGCTCTTTCTTTCATTTTTATTATTTTTAAAAGTTTTATGTTTTTATTAGTTTTTAGAAAAAGGAAGGGAGAGGGATAAAGAAATAGAAATAAAGATGAGAGAGAAACATGGATCAGCTGCCTCCCGCATGCCCCCTACTGGGGATTAAGCCCACAACCTGGTGGCCAAGAATCAAACCAGTGACCTCTTGGTTCATGGGTTGATGCTCAACCATGGAGCCACACTAGCCCGGCAGAGTAAAATTGGCTCTTCACACTTTGGCCAACCTGATAGGAGAGCAATTACGCCGAGAAAATTGGGAGAATATGAAGCTGTTAGCCTCCAGCTATTATGTCCTCTGCTATGTGCAAATATCTACCTCCAAATGAAGAATGTGGGTATTGAGCATATTGCAAAGCGTTTTTGCAAAGTGGTGGCCGCAAACTATTGGCAGCAGCTCTGGGTTGTTTTCCTTTGGCCAATGTCTGCTCGGTGGTGATGCTGAAAACACAGGGTGCTCTGTGATGTAAAAACCTGGCCTAAGCGTAAGGTAAAACGGGGACTGGCAGGCTGCCCTCTCCCTCCCAGGAAGGAGCTGCTCTCTGGCCCTGGGGTGCAGGACAATACAGTAACCCCGTCCTCTGTTTGTGTGTTTTCCAGGCTGGAGCAGGAAATCCAAGCGCTAGAAAGCGAAGAATCCCAGATATCCGCCAAAGAGCAGATCATCCTAGAGAAACTAAAGGAGACAGAAAAATCCTTCAAGGACTTTCAAAAGGTGAAGGAAACATGCGATTTCTCTAAACTCTAGCCTCAGGGAAGTAAGCTCCAGGGAAAGGGAAACGCTGCCAATCAGAGAAAATGCCAGTTGGTGCTGATGAGAAGGCTGAGCCCCACACTCTACACACGAGGGCCAGATGGGGGAGGACAGGGCCAGCTCTGACACTGAGGGTGGACTATCTTCTGGGACCACCTGGCCTGCCAAGGAAGCAGGGAGACTCATTCAGTATTAACTCCATCTCCCGACTCTCCACATGTCTAATGCCTGGGAAGTCATCTCCTGTTGGACTCGAGAATCCTAAAACCAGTTCTAGGAAAGCAGATTAAACATGCTCCCATGGCTTTAGTTTAAGTCTTTCCTTTATAAAAAGGCTAGAGGCAAAACCAACTCATGTCATACCCAATAGACATGAGTTGGGAAAACAAAGTGTAAATACATGAAATGTCACTGTATGTGAAAACAGTCTGTGTCATCAGAGAGCCAGGAGTCTCTGACTGCCTCTGGACCGTCTCTCCTTCCCGTAAGCCCGTTTCCTCAGGCACCCCTTGGCCACAGAAAGCAATCTAAACAAATTAATTTTCTGATTGGATTTTCTGATATTACTTCTTCAATACAACCAAGGGTTGTATAAGGTTGTATAAGGGCTGGGTAATCAAAAGAAATCTCAACTGGGAGGAATTCGGTAGATGTTGGGGATGGTAAACCTTTCCCTTAAAATTCAGGATCCCAGACACTTTTCCCAGAAGAGCAGAGAGCATTGGGTTTGTTCATCACAGTCAAATCCTGGGCCTGGCCTGGGGGAGAAGGACGGGTTACGTGAAGGAGGGGTTCTCTCCTCGCGTGTGTAGTAACGCTCTGCCCTGCTTTTGTTTCCACAGAGCTTCTCCGGTGCGGATGGAGGTAAGTGTGAGTGCTCTCTGCCCCGTCTGTGGGCGAATGTTTCCTTCCGTTCAGCTTAGCTTCATTAACACAGGCTCTCGGGAGACGTGGCGTGTTGGTGTGTAAGGGCATCAGAAAGTGAGGGGCACCTTTCCCAGGGTGCCGAGGAGGCCCACGTCCGGAGCCTTCTCTGCCTTCTTCGGGGACCGTCTCTTGATTCGCTGTTTCTAGCTTATACAGCTGGCTCTCCTCCTTCCCATTCGTTCCCCGGAGTTCACTGCTTGGACTGTTTTTGAAAGATGCTCGGCTAAGAGTGTTAACATCAGGACCAGACCTCAGGCAGGAAGGAGCTCATTTGTGCTGGTGGGTAGGGCTCCAGGTCACCACCCGTTGCACATCGGAAAGCTGTTCCCTGGTGTTGAGGAAACCCTTCCAAGGCCTCTGGTTTTTCTTTGGTTCGGCAACTGTAGTTTCTGCAGCCTTCCAGGAAGGCAGGGCTGGGCAGAACTCTTCTCTCTGGGAGTGGGAAGAGGAGGAGACATGAGGTGTGGGAGCAGGACCCTGGCTTCCTGCTCCCCATCCTGGCAGGAGGAGGCCTTCTCTTGCTCTCTTTTCCCTTCCTTGCCCCTGCCTCCGTGCTCTTTCCCCAGGGCCAGGTAGTTGAACTTGGGATTGTAGCATCTCATTCTTTACTTTGCTCCCAAAATCGTTCGCTATGAACTTGGGAAACCCACTCAATTCCCACTTTCCCTCTGGCCCTCAGCTAGACCTGCTTCGAAATGTGGGACTTGTGGAAGGATCAGATCCATCTGCTCCTCTGGTTCTTTTTTTTTTTTTTTTTTTAATTCTTTACTGTTGAAAGTATTACATGAGTCTCCTTTTCCCCCCATTGACCTCTCCCCTGCTACCCCCACCCCAAAGCACAAGCTCTCACCCTCCTACTGTCTGTGTCGATTGGTTTTGCTCAGATGCATGCATACAAGTCCTTTGCTGACCTCTCAACTGGTTCTTATAGAGTCCACCTCTACACTAGGAAGAGAATCAGGAGCCAGAATAGGAGTTGGCATCAGTGTTTGCCCAATGTCACCTGGAAATGTATGGGGAAAGGGATGGGTCATGTATTTCTCTGGATGAGCAAAGAATCTAGCACTAAGAATAATTCTGACTTTAGAAACAAAAAGTATTGTGTTTTTGGTTTCCCTCTCCCCCTCCAAGCAAATAAAAGGCAGAGGACCTGGATTCTGGCTGGCAGGTGATCTTTGGGAAGGTAGTAAATTAAACCCCACTCTTCCAGTTCATGTGGCAGAGACAGGTCAGGGCTGAGCCAGCAGAGACTCCAGGAGAAGTACCTATGACAGTTCTAGAACCTTCTCTAGGGCGTGGCCAAATCAGGGCTCTTGTTCTGTGCTTTGAAGGTGAAGCATGATCTGAGGATATGACCTTTCCTGTTTGGGAGGATTGCAGGGGCAGCATGGGAAAGTTGGTGGTTTCCCAGGGGGGTGCCAGGGAAGACCAGAGGCAGAGTACTTGGCCAGCAGGTGTGCAGTAAGTGCCAGCTGGGATGGGTCTTGGGACATTGACCCCCACCCCCAGACATCCACATACCAGAAGGGTGCACACTGGCCTTTTATGTCTTCTTTTTCTCTCTCTCTCTTTCCTCTCCCCCCCTCAAACCAGGACCTTTCCTGGAATTCTCTCTCTAATTAGAGAAGGGGAGGAGCCTGCATATCATGTCCCTGGAAGTCTGTGTGGGACACAGAGACCCAAATATTCCGTGACATGTTAATAAGCAAAAATGAAGCCTCATTATACACTCTTGCCACTGTCTCTTTCATTCTCACTCTGAACTTCTCTCGTTCCCTCCCGCACTAATTCCCACTATGGTCATCTGTTCACCCAAGCGGTTCCAAGAGGGGTGAGAAGCCTGAGAGCTTGCAGAGAAAATGCCTTTAGGACTCCGTCTTCTTTTTGACAAGATTGGTGATCTCAGAAGTAAGAGGATGTGAAGTCTTAGGAATCCCAGTAAATGGCCTTACCTGTCACCCTGGGTTTTGTGGTCTTACCTGTCACCCTGGTTTATGATTCCTGCCACCTCTGGTTCTAACTTAGAAGATTAGGAGTATTTTCTATCACACCACGTCTCCCGGCAAGGAAAAATCTGAAGGAGGAAACACATCCTTCCAAGAATGTGGCCCAACGTTTAGGTCACTCTGTGGTCTGAGGGTAAAAACTGGAGCACGTCCAGGAGGAAGGGATTGTGAAGCGCTTGATTATTTTCTCAGTCTCTCATTCCCAAGGCCCCTTTGACTTCAGCGTTGTCAAGACCCTCTTAGGACCCTTCAACTGTTGTTACTTAAGAACTAACACAAAATGATTGGAGACTAATAATACCTTAATAAAAACACCCAACTTCTGAAACTGGTTACGGAATTCAAGGCCAACCAGATTATATAACTAACTGTACAAGGACCACAGATAGTTAGCAAGAGCAGCCTGAGTGGAATGAGATGTTAAGGAGATGTTCGCGGGTGTCATGACCCCACTTCCCCTATGCCTGCCCCCTCTGTGCCTGCCAGAGGAAATGAGGGTTCTGTGCCACTGGACTACCAATGGCTTTGACCACATGGTAGCCCTGGAAGTCAAGAGCAATGTATTCCCTTCATGAGTAGAATTTCCCATTCTGAATTCTCTTGACTTCCTCCCCCACCTCATCTGCACACTTATTATATAGCGGCCTTCATCAATTAGGAGGGTGGTTTTTACTGCTTTAAGTAGACACTGTGTCATGTGTAACTATGAATTGCATACAGTATGGTTTGTTTGTTTTTTTACCCATGGAAGAGCTGGTATAAAACCCTGGACTGGAACCGGCAAGATAAGCATGCCCTGGCCCCAAGTCAGCCCTTGCTATATGAGACTGATGTTTGACCAGTTCAGGAGTTCTCACCTGGTCTTAATGTCTTGAGCCTGTGTCTCATTTAAATGCAGGAAGTCAGATTTACTGAGATCCCAGTCCACAGAGTTCTGGAAATCACAAGTTCTATAGATCTGCTCTGGTCGTCTCTTGTGCCCTGAATTGGCCCTCTCCCCCCAGGTTGCTGCTCCATTCTTCCCATGGATCAGGTTAGCAATCTACCCTACCTAGTCAGGACCAGCTGCTGCACTCCTGGGTCCTGCCTTGTGCTGGTCTGGGGCCCAGACCCTTTCCAGAGCTCCCCACAGTGAGAATAAGGTCTGCAACCCAAGCTCAGGAATACTAGCAGAGCAGCTCAATATAGAAAATAATGTGCAACCTCAGACAAGTGGCTACCCCCAGCAGCTAGGCTCAAATCTAAGCCCATATTCATGGGGTATCCCAGGTGGCTTTGTGGCCATCTCCCAGCCCACTGTCATCTCAATGGCCCAACTTCCTTCCTTGCAATAAACGGTCTTCAACCATGTCTGCCTGGCCCAGGGTCCAAGCTCCAGCATCCATAGGCCCCAGAGAGAGCCAGTAACCTGAGCCTCACTCCACTCTCAGGCCTGCATACTCCTGATTTCCTGTTCCTTTTCCCCATGTGATTGATATGGAAAAACTCAGTCTCTTAGAGAAACTCCGCTCCATCCTCACTCATGGAGTGCGTTCTTTGCACTAAGAACCAAGTGGTCCAATATCCATACATACGGGATTGTCAGACTCACACGCGAGTCATCTCATGCCAAACGCACGGTACTTACTAAAATTCTGCGACACACCCACAAATGTTATATATTTTGCCAGTCTGACAAAAACATAGGTATAATTTTGATTCATTCATACTGGGTGGCTATTGTTGTCATTTTTTAGTTTGCAATCTAAGGGAAAAGAGATCCAGCCCCTGTCTAAATAGTTCGGTATTGCATGATTGAAAAGTTCCTGTGGCACACGGGTTGAGCATCGTTGGTCTACCCTGTATAGGACTGAACTAATCCACTCCTAATGCAGTGTCTGTTTGCAGTCCTCTCCACCATGAAATTACAACAAGAAAAAAGAAGCCTGCTAAAACCAACAGGGACACAGGGCATGGGGGAGCAGGATATGGGGGAAGCAGCAGACGTGTGAGGATAAGAGTCTGCTTTTGGACATGTTGAGTTTGAGGTGACTGTGGATGTTCAGTGGACATGGGCAGTGAGCAAATGTAATTGTGGATCAGGGACTGACATCCCAGGGTCTGGGATATGGTTATGACACAGGAAGAAATCACTCCACTCCACTTGCCCACTTCTCTCTGGGGCACACACAGGTTCCTCTCCTTGTCTCACTCCAGTGGCTTCCTCCTCTCCTCCAACACTTTGGCACCTGCTGAGGTTCATGCCCGCCCGGGATCTCACCTCCCAGAAGAGGCTTGTCAAGGTCTTTTTCCCAAACAGAGCTGGTCTCCCTCTTTCGCACCGTTTTTCTGCAACTGAGCTATTGGTGAGCTCACTGGGGATTGTTATTTGGATTTAGGATTTTCTAGCAACAACACCAGCTGAAATACTGAAAACATGGGATAGATTCTAGAATTTTTTAAATGCACATAAAACTGGTCTCTGAATAAATCGGGCACATCAAGCTGTATTTCCAGTTCAGGGAACGAGCACCAGATCTACTTTTCATTACTGTTGAATGCATATTGCTAGTGTGATGGCCCACATTGGGTCAATCCCAACAAGCTGATAAATGACTCTCACCGGCCTATCTCATTTCCCCCACCCTGAACCATTGTGTTCTTAGAATCTAGAGCTTTCCGATGACTCTTTTAATAAGTAGAACATTTCTGGGTTTGAGCCCTCTGGCCAGGATCCCTCCTGTCTCAGCTATTCTGCTGAATACTAGCCACTGGGCAAATGCTTCTCTTTGTTCACCCTGATCCTCTCACCCAGCACCCGCCTCGGAGCTCCGGAGCTCCGTTATGTAGGGCAGTGCACTTATTGGGCCTCCCGACACTGTGCCTAATTGTATTCCCTGTTCTCTGCTACCAGATGCAGTAAATTGCATTTCCTCCCAGCTCCCCAACCTGCCAACCCTCTATTCACGAACAGCAGAACCGTCACCTGGGCAGGACGGGACCAGCAGAGCAGCTGGTAAGTCCTGGGGAGCGATTTGGTTTTGATGCCAGGACTGGCCCTGGGGCTTGCCCTTCTCGGCACTTTACTAATGAGGGGGTTCCCAGGTATTCTCACAGAGAGGGACCTGTCCTCAGCTCAGCCTCAGACGTAGAATTTCAGTGGCCACACAGGCTAGGCACTGGGTCCCTATGACTAACTAGGGACCAAATAGGAAGAAATATGAAGGCTATAGAGTGTTTTCCCTCCTACTTCAGAAGAGTCTGTCTCGAGTTTGCGTTTTTATATCTGTCCTTATTCTCAAAGTTAATCTGTACTCTGCCGCCAGGGGTTTTTATTTTCCGTGTTGAAATAGACCCGATCAAATGAGCTGTGATGGGAGCTGGGTGGAAAGTGTTTTCAAAATGTATGAATATGTTGCCAAAATCCTTTGGGAATTGAGCTGTTTGAGTCTTGTGAACATATAACCTCAAGTCTTTCTGGAGTTATTTCTTAGCTACTGTGATATGCTGGGAGGGAGAGGAGCAATTCAGTGGACATATGTTTCTGGCTAATGTTTCTCCAACTGTGAATCTTGGAGAGGAATACATCCGTGAGTATAAATAGAGAGAGAGCTACACCTTGCTCTGCTCAATGTGAATGTGCCTCAGCAATCAGAACAGAAGGCCGTGAACAATGACAATCTGTTTGCTCTGTGCACAAATGCCCCAAGTGTCAGGGGTCAAATGAAACGGTGCTTTGCCAAGGTTGCACAGTTAGTGACAATGGGAGTGAACTCAAATATGATGTCAGAAGTCACGCTTCCTGTAATCTAGGTACGTTGATGTTGAAAATAAATCACATAATGGCATCTGCTATGAAACAAAACAATCATGGACTTTTAAGCCAGAGGAACTCTTTTATCCGGACCGGCCTGAATATTTTATGAAGCAAATAATCCCTCCTTATTTTAATGCAAAGGTAAAATGAGCCAGCAAGTCAGCATTGACCTATTTGTCCAATGCACTGATTACATTTAAATATCTACTGGGTTTAGTCTGTAAACATCTTAGCATATTACTTTACATACAGATGCACAGAATTCTAGGGTTGGGTGGGACCGGAAGGGGTGTCTGGTCAAATCCAGGTCCAGTCCACGTTTCCTTGGATAGTTCTAGGATGGATAAACCAGAACTTGCACCTGCAGCTGTGCTACAAGGGAATCACTGGCTGTGCCTCAGGCTCCAAGGTGAATATTTTAAAAAGTAAGTTTGCATGTACTTTTGCTTATGAACTCGGGGAACAACCGTTCAGAAGCCACACACCTTCCCACTTGTTCTTGGAGACGTGGGTATTGATAGTTTCCAAGTTGTGGGTAAAAGGCTCTCTGGCCCCTCATCACAGGTTTCCGCACCTCACAGGACACGCAGTGGGAGCCAACAGGTGGAGCAGCTCGTGGAGGGGGTAGGGGCAGAGCATGAGAACTAAGAGACAGAACGAGGGTTTGCACGATATTGGTGGTCAAAGAGTATTAAATTCAAGGGTGGCGTGTTAGTGTGATTGTAGTGCTGTGTGTGTAGGCATACCCCTACCATCACAGCCTAGCATCCTTCACATGTGGAGGTACTTCAGAAACAGTGATCCAAAAAGCAAATGCATTTTTTTAAAGTATTACATTATCTGAATATTTTTTAAAATAAGGTTGCACGTACTACTTTGGTTTCTTAAAGGACTAGTTTTCATAAAAGCATCTGCTACGGGGATACACGTGAGCAGAGTGGTAGGAGGAATCACAGTTGCTGGGGTGCACTCCTTTGTTCAGGCTGGCTTAGGAATAGAGGGCCAGGTTCATTATCGTTGGTGGTGACGACCCAGAGCATGGATGGCACGCCAGCTAATGACAGTCGTCATAAAATATTCCTACGCATCGTCCATCTTGCTTTAGGAATGTCCTTGTGGAGACTTGCCCAAAAGTAGGGACACTTTTGTAAATGTCACTTGTCATTACTCAGTATTGTGGCAAACAATCTTGTCATTTGCAGTTCGGGAGGTTTAGGGTTCTGAATAATGAGAATATATTTAGAATTGTCACTCTTCAGAATAAGGAGGCGTCTATTCCAATCCCTGATCACACATGGAAGTCAGAGTGTAGCAGCCCTGCCAGGAGGCCCTCCAGCCCTGGCCACTCACCTCTGTGGCTGGAGCTGAGTCTCCTCCAGTGGCCCCTTCTGCCCATAGTTGGTGCTGATTAGAGGGAAGTCCTTCCTCTGAAGGGGCTACCATTTGTCTGCCCTCTTCTTCCCACCCGACCCCTCACCTCGGATTGGTTCTCATCCTGCCCCCAGGAGCCTCTCAGAATCTATTTCTGATTTCCTTTCAGCTCCTTGAAAATAACTATCATTTCCTGTCTGAGCCAGATCCTCAGTGTACATCCCCTGGGGCCAGATCTCCTCAGCTGGTCCCTAGATGATGAGATTGCCTTGAGACACCATCCATCACCCCTGTCCTTCCCCTCTGAATTCTCGGCACTGTCCCTGGTCCTCCTGAAGTGTTCTGAGCTGCCCTGCCCACACTGGGAGGGGCTGACCCCCTATGGAGCAGGACCTGAGGCCACAGATCATGTGAATCGCTTCCTGGGAGTTGGCACCATGGCCTTTCAGCTGCAGGTTCTGGAGGAAAGCCTCAGAGTCACTGCGCATGTGCCTCTGATCAGCCTCCTTTCCTTACCTGTGTGCTCACTGTTCGTGGCACCTGCAATCTCTCTCTTCCCACAACGGCTCACAGCAGAAGAACCCTCAAACGTCTCTATTTCTTAATCTCCAAAGGCAAAAATAATGATGAGCTATGCACCTTTCTGTCCTTTGTAGATTAGATGTGATGGTTAAGTTCCTTCCTGTTAGATTGTCCCTTAAACATGCAGGGAGCTCACAGGGCCACGTCGGAGCCTCCGTGGAAGACAGGAGGGGAGCAGGTAGGAGATTTAGTAATCAGGGCTCCTTTGTTCTCTCCCATTTTAAACAGCAGCTCCTCCACGCTCGCTCATGTTTATATATTGTGTTTCTGTATTCATTTCCATTTGAATAAAGGGTTCACAGTTTTAAAAGCGGGGGGGAAAAACCTCTGTGGGCGTCTTTATAGCTTGTGATCATGGCACCTCATAGCCTTACTTTTCTTCTCACCTCAAATCTGAAAAACAAGCCTTCGTTATTTTTAATCATCTCACTGACCAAAACATTGCAGAGTTAGATCTGAAGTCAGAGGCCTGCAAGCAGACCTGGGTCCCCTGACTCCTGAAAACCCCAAGCCGGCACCTATGGGATGTGATCCTTCAACAAGGAACAGGCCCTGGCAGCGGTCCTGACACCCAAGGCCCATGCTTCTGTCTTGTCCACGGGAATATCAGGGCCTAGAGGAGGATCCAGATGTGCTGAGTCTCTGGCATTTGCCCAGTCTGTCTGGAGCCCTGGAACAAGGAAGAAAATGGGATTCATCTGCACGGCTTCTGCCTGGTGGGCCCATGCTGGCACGTGGTGGCCTCTGCTCTTAGCATTTAGCCCCCATGGTGTCAAACTCACTTCTATGTCATTTATGGAATTCCCTCCTCATTTTTGAAAATCAGAACTTCCGAGGGTCTGCCCCCAGCACCTCACGTTCCTTGAGATAAGCTCATGAGTAGAGGAGCGGGGTCCAAGCCCAAAACCCCGAGAGCATTTATGTCCCTGGTGCTTCCTTATCTTCCAGCCTTCACTTCCCTCATAGTGACGCTCGTTCTGGCACTTTTCAGACTGGAAACCATCCTTCCTGAGGGGGAAAAAAAAAATGGAAGCAAAATCAGATTTGAGATAGAGGCTTTTGCTATCCTTCAACATCACGTATTTGCCAGTACTACTGAGGTGTCCTGGGAAAACAATTATTCCAAGGAATTTTTTTATTACTGGCTTATGAAGTTAAAGATTACCCTCTGGGATGACAGGGAGAATCTATTTGGAGTTCATATCCTTGTTTTTCATTGTTACTGACATCACAATAGTCAGTTTTATATCTCCCACCTCAAGGGACGTGACCATATGTGTATAGGCATAGTCATATGCTGAAGGGACAAGGCTGCACATACATGTGTGTGTTCGTTCAATAAGCCAAGCATGTGCATTGCTCCTCTTCCACATTCCGGAAGTGACACCCGCTACTGAATGTGTATCCTATTGGGATGTTCTCACTGCATACTCTGGCTGCCTACTACCTCCTATTGTACCAGCACAGGAGCACATGCTGTTCATGGCACCACAGAATATCAACGCTGGATATCCTTCAACCGAGCAAATGGGGGAAATGAGACCCAAAGATGGGGTGTCGTCTGGATGGGAATTCAGACCCCCTGTGTTTCTCCCTCCTCCCGACACCTCCCATCTTACTGACTAATGGCAGTGCGGGCGTCATTTTATACTCTACATGTGGCTGCTCAGCCTGTGCCTCCTCCCACGCAGCACAGTGAGTCAAAGGAAGTGAGCTGAGAGACGTTTCATACCCTCCAATCCTTTTGTCATCAGTATGCCATGTTTGGAAATGGATAACTAAATTATTGTCTGGTAAGAACATACTTCTAGACTTCAGTCATCCCATCCCAGCCTGAGTCAAAGACTTGGGCAAAGATTGAATTCCCCTCGTTACGAAAGTGTCTTGTTTTGTGTGCTCCTGGCTTGGTTCTGAAATGGAATCATGTCCGTTGGTTCCCTGCCCACTCACTGTGTCCTATGTCCTGTCTCCTGCCCCCTGGGCTCGTTACAGCGGCTCTCTTTTTGCTAAAGCTGAAAGTCACAGAGAACGAGATAGTCATAAAGCCAGGGGAGTGAGGCTGACGCGGAATCAAGCATCCTCTGCTCCTTAGACCCATCTTTTTGGGTGCTGCAGCGTGCCAGGCCCCGAGAGCTTCTCGCCCCTCCCTCGCCCTGGTATCTAGGCCGATGTCTTCCCCAGGAGCTGCCCCCTGCAGCCACACCTGGCTGTTGCCAGGATCCTGAGGCTGGGATGATCATCCCCCA